TCATTTGTAGTTTCTAATCTTTTTTCCTTTTGGCGGAGTTTCCATTTAGTATTTATTTTCTTCCTTTTCCCTAGTTTTCTTCCTCAGGGACTACTATCGTGGTAAGCAGGGTCTTTTCGCCTGTTTAATATTTGTTATTTTCTCCCATATTTTAAAATCTTTTTTCATTTCTTATTGATTAAAAAATCCGTTTTTTGTTCTATTTCTTTTAAGGTATTATCTGTTATGTTTATTTGCTTTTCTGTTTATTTTATTTTAGTCTTCATTTCTAAAATGACTTCCTCTTCTATTTCTGCTTCTTTCCTGAGTTATACCATCTCACTTCCGTGTTTTTCTAGTTTTGATTTATGTAGTTCTTCAGTATCTTGTATTACTTTCTTCATTTTCTAATAGTAAACTTTAGTTTTGATTTATTTTGTGAATGTATCTTTTTGGCTGCTTTTATTGTACAAATTTTTTTCTTTTGCTCATTATTAATTTTTTAAATAAGAACTTGATATATATTTGGCCTTGATGCTTTTCTTTGCTCATTCGTAATTGAATTTAGTTTTTTCCTGAACTTTCAGAAGGAAGTGTGATTCAGGATAACTTTAGCTTCGCTGACCTCCTTTATGTAGTGTTCAAAGTATGATGGCTTGCTTTCTGGCATTTTTCTGCCTCTGTTCTGTTCAACTTTTGTTAGTCCTTTTTTTCCCCTGGGTTTTCTTTTCCTTCTATTTTTTTAATCCTGTTTAATTTGTATTCTATTGTGTACAGTAGTTTCTCCTACTGAAGTTTCTTTGGCTCTATCCTGATTGGGAACCCGGGGGGTCAGTGTCTGTGGTAGAGATCACTCTACCTTTTTCCAACCTTACTGTAGATCTTTTGAACTCCCCTGTTACTGGAATGGGCAAGCTCCCTCCCATTCGCAGCTGCTTTTTTCAAATTGCCTCACTGTGCTTCCCAGCGAGCACCTGTTGGCTCTTTTGGGGTTCTCTTCCCAGTTCTTTTAGATACCTCCTTACTTCCTTCTGCTTCCTCCTGCATTAGATGCTGATACCTTGCAGGTTTTTGTGGCTGTTAGTGGTTTGTCACCATCTGCTTTATTTTGGGGGTTTGTGGGGATATCTTGTCACTTTAATTTGTCATGGATGTTGTCCACTGTAGGTTTTGAGTTTGCTTTGTAATTGCTGTGTCTGTTTTTATGGGAGAATTTGGGGAGACTTGAAAACTCTGCTGCCTCTGCTTTTGTTTTCTGTTTCGTGTTTTTGCTTCTGTCCTTCATATTAAAGGATATCGTCTAATTGTTGGCCATCTGTTCATATTTAATGGTAGAAACTAAAATGCTTTTGGAAGTTATGTGGCACAGGTGCCTGGCACTACTGATTACTAAGTTTGTTGGGGGTTGCTCCTGGATGGAGATTGTCAATCGTAGGGTGCTTTCTCTGAGGCATTTTATTGGAAAACTTATTATGTCACTATCTTTTTATGCCTCTTTGCTTCAGCGGGTCATGTTCAGTGGAAAAATCATTCATATCTTTCTCCCAGAGGCTGTAAGCTAGGCTACCGCTGTTTTTAGAGGTTTATGGAGAAAGGAGTCGTAGTAAAGTCTCTTAATCTGTTTTCATACACTGCCCCTGCTGTCACCTGTACCTGCTGTTTCCATTCCAGTGAGGATGACAACTCCTGCTTCTCTTCCTCCTCCTCCTGACACCAGGTTATTTCCGGTTCATCCTTATCACTACGATGTTGTCTTTTAGGTGCCCTATCCACAGCGTGGAGAATTTATGAAGGCCCCCCCGCTTCTTAATAGACCCTGCAGTCATATTTTGCTTCTAGGTCTGTGAGACTGTCAAAATCTCAGCTAAGTTTCAGTCTTTCATTTGCCTTTTCTGAAATTAGCAGATGCCCTTAGGGAGAAAGCAGCTCCAATGTCTGGCTCATCTCCCTAGCTTTCCCTTCTTCTCCCAGATCTTGGCCCTGTAATGCTTCACTGCCTTATTAGCTTCTCTGTGCCTTTAAGCAGATTTTAAAAAATAGTTTGACCAGATGTTATTAGTTCTCTTAGTGGGTTGATGGGTCTGCTTGTGTAAACTGCCATTATCCAAAGCAGAAATCTGTTCCCCATTAATATCTTTTCTGCTCTCATCCTGTCTCTCTGTACTCTCCCATCCTTCTCCTTTCCCAGATTATGTCTGTTTTATTGTTCTCAGTATCTATTATTGGGCTGATATTGCATAGTTAATTATTACATCTCTCTGTAATCTATATTCTTTTCATTTGATATATGCACAATCATATTTCTACATGTTTATTTTTCTAGATGAACTTAGAATCATTTTTCAAGGTCTATGATAAGTCTCTGAGTTTTCATTGTAATTAGATTTGGGGAGAATTGGCATTTTTACATTATTCATTCTTCTCGTCCAGATCTGTGATGCATATAGATTTATTTAAACACGTTTTCTTTTAATCTGTTGCTAAGGTTTTGGGGGTGGTGTATGCTTGGCATATATTTCTTATTTGTATTTCTAACTACTATATGCTTTGTGGCTTTTGGGAATAAGGTCCTTCAATTTTCTTTTCTTTTTTTTTTTGTGGTTGATATACAATAAAGTGACAAATAAAATATATTGATCATGTATCCAGTCATTTTACTGAACCTTCATATTGAATCTAATGTCTTTTTGGTCTATTTCAAATATTTATTTGTGATTTGTCTGAATATTTAAAAAATACATTATTAATTTACATTGTAATCACAGTGTGTGGCCTATAATACTACTGCTTCTTGGAATTTATTGATTTTTTTCCCCTGAGTATCTATGATAGGGATCAAATATAAATATAACCTGGCTGCTTAAAAAAGGTGTGTTCTGGGGTCAGCCTGGTGGGATGGTGGTTAAGTTTGTGCACTCTTCTTCAGCGGCCCAGGGTTGGCAGATTTGGATCCCAGGTGCGGATCTAGCACCTGTTGTCAAGCCATGTTATGGTGGCATCCCACATAAAATAGAGAGGAAGATTGACACGAGGATGTTGGCTCAGTGACAAGCTTCCTCAAGCAAAAAGAGGAGGATTGGCAACAGATGTTAGCTTAGGGCCAATCTTCCTCACAAACAAAGCAGACAAGACAGTTGTGTTCTCTTTGCGTTGGTTATAGCCTTCAAAAGTTTCTATATCTTATTTTACATTATTTGTTTCATTATGTCAGATATCACATCAAGGCTGACATATAGGAGATTCTTAATAAATATCCATTCCTCAAAGCAAAGGAAATCATCAACCAAAACAAACTACAGAATGGGAGAAAATATTTGTAAACCATATATCTGATAAGGGGTTAATGTCCAAAATATATAAATAATTCATACAATTCAATAGCAATAAAACAAACAATCCACTTAAAAAATGGACAGGAGATATGAATAGACTTCTTTCCAAAGAAGACATACATATGTCCAACAGGTAACATGAAAAGGTGCTCAACATCACTAATCATCAGGGAAATGCAAATCAAAACCTTAATGAGATATCACCTCACACCTGTTAGAATGACTGTTATCAAAAAGAAGAAATAACAAGTGTTGGTGAAGATGTGGAGTAAAGGGAACCCTTGTGCACTGTTGGTGGGAATATAAATTGGTTCAGATAGTATGGAAAACAGTATGGAGGTTTCTCAAAAAATTAAAAATAGAACTACCATATGATCCAGCAATTCCACTTCTGGGCATTTATCTGAAGAAAATGAAAACACTAACTTGAAAAGATATATGCACGCCCATGTTCATTGCAGCATTCTTTACAATAGCCAAGATATGGAAGCAGCCTAAGCCATTGATGGATGAACGAATAAAGAAAGTATAGTATATATATACAATGGAATATTATTCAGCCATAAAAAGAAGGAAATTTTGTCATTTGCGATCACATGGATGGACCTTGAGGGCATTATGCTAAGTGAAATAAGTCAGACAAATACTGTTTGATCTTCTGTATATGTGAAATCATAAACAAACAAACAAACAAACACAAAAGCAAGCTCATGGATGCAGAGAACAGACTGATGGTTGCCAGAGGCAGAGGGGGTTGGAGTGGGTGAAATAAGTGGAAGGGGTTAAAAAGTACAAACTTCCAGCTATAAAACAAATAAGTCATGGGGATGTAATGTTCAGCATGGTGACTATAGTTAATAGTATTGTATTGTATATTTTAAAGTTGCTAAGAGAGTAAATCTTAAAAGTTTTCATCACCAGAAAAAAAAGTTTTGTAATTGTGTATGGTAATGGATGTTATTGTGGTGATCATTTCACCAATCTTAAGTCCATATTACTAAGTGAAAGAAGCCAATCTCAAAAGGCTACATAACATATGGTTCCAAATATGACCTTCTGGAAAAGGCAAAACTATGGAGATAATAGAAAGATGAGTGGTTATAGGAGCGGAGGGGGAGGTGAAGGGGAGGAGAGAAATGAAGAGGCAGAGCACAGACACTTTCCAGGGCAGTGAAAATACTACGTATGATGTTATAGTGATGGATGCGTGTCATTATACATTTGTCCAAACCCACAGAATGTGCATCACCAAGAATGAACCCTAGGGTAAACTATATGTGACTTCGGGTGATCACGATATGTCAGTGTAGGTTCATCCTTGGTAAAAAAGTACCAGTCCTGTGAGTGATATTGATAATTGAGGAGGCTATGCCTATGTGGAGGCAGGGAAATCTCTGTACCTCCCTGTCAGTTTTGTTGTAAACCTAAAACTGCTCTAAAAAATAAAATCTTAAAAAACATTAGGAAAAAACACCCAAAGAAATTGAAGGGTTAATCCCTACTATAGATTAGTAAAACTGTAAGAGACGTATCAACCTAAAAATATGTATATACACAGTAAATGTGCTAAGATATAAGCATATGTAGTCTACCTAGTAATTGTTTGGCTTTTAGATACTTCTGTGCTAAACTAAAAAATTTTTATTTATTAATTTTATTTATTTAAGGAAATCTTTTTTAAACTTTCAGATGATACAGCCTTGTTTGAGTTGATCCAACTAGTTCCACCAGGTACTGTATTATATTTTGATAAGGTAATTGGTGTGTGAGCCCATTTCAGTGAAATTCTTTTTAAAACTATCACTTTTTCCCCTTCTTTCCAAATTAAGAACAACATTGAGTTTTTAGTGTTGGTCCACTATGTGTAAAATATCAATAGACCAAAATTATATATTCAGAAAGATTGACATAAATAGCATTTGAACACATTGTTCTAAAGTTAAATAAATAGTAATAATTGAAATTGGAAAATAACATGATATTATCTAGCATATTTTATGACATTCATAAAAATTGACTTTTAAGTTTTTGTGATTTATCTCACTCTGTATGCCTCTGTTGATAAAGTAGTTAATTATCTTTGTTTTTATGTGTTGACTGTTATTGGGAGAGGAGGGGACTAAAACTTTACCTATTTAGTAAACCTATCACATCTCTGAGATAGAGCGAGTTAAAATATAGAGGATAGTTTTATTTCTGTTACTGATTTCTATGATTATAGAAGAAATCTATCTCAATCAAATAATTATTTTATGTGAAAAATGGAGAGCTATGTTTTATTCAAAACTAATAATCTGAAAAATTTTGAATATTAACGTACATCCCTAATTCAGGTAGCCACAAATTCTAGAAAATGCCTATGTATTTTTCAACATGTAACCTAATATCTTATAATGGCAGGTAGACAAGAATGGAAGATAGAAAAAATTTGTGGAGATGGTAATTAAGTTTTAGATGTGTAAATGTCATACCAACTTGATATGTTTACAAGGACATTTTTTTTGCCCTGGGAACTCATAGGTACTCACTAAATCTACAAAAGGGAGAGGGAGAATTAGTAATCTGTACTGCATTTCTGAATAAGGAAATGTGTTAATCCATTTAACATAACCTTAATTTAGTTTTCCTTTCGTAGGAAAAAAACATGATCCTGAAGCACTTATTTCAGTAAGGCATCAGGCATTATATATATTGTAGTTGATGGTTTTGTTTCTAAATAGAATATTTTGTTATAATTTGAATCATAAGATATCTTTCTTGTAGTGGGTGAAACACTGTCTACATATGAAGAAAATACACGAGATTTCATGTTCCCGGGTCCAAACCAAATTTCTGGACACCATGATTCAAACCGCCAGGTTACCATGAGGAGGATTTCTGGCCTTCGAGTAAGTGCTTTTTACTGTTTTCTGAATCAATTTGTGATATGGGATTATTGTCAAAAACCACCACATAGCCCTCAGATTTGAAATGTGAACTAATTCAAAGTTTAATTTGGTTCAAAGTATAATTGTTTTATGAAGTTATGATGTTATCTTATACATACTCAAATCTAAATGAAAATAATTTAACAAAACACATGCATCTTTCATCCAAAATTAGCAAATGTTATTTGGCCTTGTATACTTCAGGTTTCTCTTCTCTTCTTCTCCCACCTCTCCCCCTCCTCACTGTGCCTATCTGTTTCTCTCTTCTCATCCCTTTATTTTTCTCTCAAAAGAATGATCAATAAACATTTGAAGAGGTGCTCAGTCTCATTAGCATGTAACGAAATCCAAATTAAAACAACCAGATGATTCCATAAATTTAATAAATCTGACAATATCAAAAGTTTGAAAAAATGGAAACTGTTACATGCCATGTAAATTGGAACATCACAGTTCAGAATTATCTAGTAAAGGCAAGGATTCTCATAGCCTGTTACTTTCTAAGTGTGTATCTTGGAGCTGTGTTCTCTCTGTATACTAAGAGCCCTCTTTGGAATGTTCATTTGTAGCATTGTTCATAATAGTGAAAAATGCAAATAATTGAAATGTCCATTAGTAGGAGTTTGGATAGATTAATTATTTATGTTCCTGTGATGGAAATATATATTCATACATCTAAAAGTGAAAGCTGCGTTGCGACGGCCGGCTCTCCTATCTTCCTCCAAATTCCTTCAACTTTCCGTGGATGATTTCAAAATATTTTTATCCCTGAAAATGTTTTCCACTTAGAGAAACTAAGAGAAGCCTCTGCTGTTGCAAAGAAGAGAAAAGCAAAAATTGTCTAGGTGGAAATAATTTGGACAAACTTCTGTTTTACTAACTTTATAAAATATTAGAGTAGTCTGAGTAAGGAAACTGGGGAGATCTATGAGTCAATATGGTGACTTAAGTAATTTCTCCTGTAGGTCTAGGTTTATGATGCGCTCTGCCCTAGGAGAGAGCAGCTTCAGCTCGCTGAAAGTCTAAAAGCTGACTAACTAGCCAATCTGTGAATGTGTCCCTCCTTTGGGATATTTTCAGTGTCTGTCAGACACCTTCTATACTATCAGAGTCTTCTTCAAAGTGTGTTTCAGCAACTGTCTAGAAACCTGCCCTGAAAAAAATACCTGATTTTAAAATTATAGTCTTTTAAAAGTAATTTAAAATGCTGTATTATACCAAATTGGCAATATAAACATAAGAGTATGGACTATTAACAGGTATCTTTCTTCATTTAATTTGAGTTACTTTTATATATATTCAGATGTTGGATTACTAAGGCAAAATATATGTGTATAAAGGTGGGACTTCTGGTAATGATGGTATAAAGAGATTGATATTTCCTCTCAGTGCACAAAACAAGGATAAAACTGGGTAAGATTGTCACAAACGACAGTATCAGGACACTGGAAACTGACTGGCAATTAAGACAATCAAGACAAGACAAACTGGGGGCCAGCCCCGTGGCCCAGTGGTTAAGTTTGCTCACTCGCTTTGACAGCCTAGGCTTTGCTGGCTCGGATCCTGGGCATGGACCTACTCACTGCTCACTAAGCTGTGCTGTGGTGGCATCCCACATAGAAGAGCTAGAATGACTTACAACTAGGATGTACAACTATGTGTTGGGACTTTGGGGAGGAAAAAAAAAAAAAGAGGAAGATTGGCAACAGACGTTAGCTCAGGGCCAGTCTTCCTCACTGAAAAGTATACCTTAAAACAAACAAAAACCAACTTAGAGAAAAACCCTATTGAAAAAAAAAAAAAAAAGACAAGACAAATTAAGAGTATTTATGCTTGAATAACTGCTAAAGTTTTGGGTAAAAATGGCAGGAGTATGTGGCTTTCTTGCCTGGAACAGCTCCCTTACTCTGTGTGGCCAGTGAGAATTGTGTCTTCACCAAGCCTGGGGCTGGGCAGAAAAAGCAGCTTTGCTCCCAGAGGAGTCAGAATCAATTTTGGGCAGTGGGACTGTGATATTGTGATTTATAATAAGAAAAATATATTTGGTCTTCATCCCCGTTCTGGCACAGAGCTCCTAAAACCCTTGGAATTTCCTAAGTGATGGGGGCAATAAAGATGTCTTTTGTTATATTAACGAGACTTTTAGAAAAAGTCCCCAGGTAACCTAAGGGTGGGGGCTGGTTGCCAGGGTAACCAGCCTTGTGATTAGGGAGTTGGAAAGTTTCAGCCTCACCCTGACCTCTGGGAAGGCTAGAGGGGCTGGAGACTGAGTTCAGTCACCAGTGGCCAATGATTAATCAACCATGCCTATGTAAGGAAGCCTCCATAAAAGCCCAAAAGGACTGGGTTCAGAGAGTTTCCAGATTGGTGAACTCATAGAGGTGGGTGCTGGGACAGTGGCATGCCCAGAGAGGGCATGGGAGCTTCGTGCCCCTTCTGACGTACTTTGTCCTATAAATTTCTTCCATCTGTATCCTTTATCATATTCTTTTATAATAAACTGGTAAACAGTGAATAAACTGTTTTCCTGAATTCTATGAGCCACTCTAGTCAATTAATTGAACCCAAGTTGGTGGTTGTGAGAACCTCAGATTCATAGCTGATTGGTCAGAAGTGCAGGTGACAACCTGGACTTGTAGTTGGTATCTGAAGTGGAGAGGGGACAGTCTTGTGAAACTGAGCCCTTAACCTGTGGGATCTGATGCTATCACCAGGTACATAGTGTTAGAACTGAGTTAAATTGTAGGACACCTAGCTCCTGTCGCGGAAAATTGCTCGTGGTGTTGGAAAACCCACATGTTGGAATTGATGTCAGAATCACAGGGACAAATAGTGTGGCTTTGCTAGCTAAACGTGGCGGGTTCAGATGGGAGTGGGTGAGGAAACCCCACAGCTTGGCTAGGCCGATTGCAGTTCCAATTAGAGTGTGCAGCATAACTGCCAGAAGGTTGACAGGGAGATCTTGGAAGTAAGGGAGCAATGAAAGGGCTGAGATGATCTCCCTACCCCTTCCTGGCTGACTGTGAAACTGTGCATGTGCAGGGGAGACAGTGAGAGCCCAGCAAAAAGTGAAAGCCAAGAGATACTAGAGACCTGGCTGTCTCTTTGAGTGCATTCCCCAGCCCAAACACAGATAATCCACGGAGTGTAATGGAACACTTACAGGTCCATTGGAGACCACTAAGCTATGCATGCACAGGTGAGATCCCTAGAAAGAACAGAAGAATAAAAGACATGGCACATATATAAACTGAACAGCAAAGTGGCAGATATAAATCCAATCGTATCAATTATTATATTTAAATGTGAATGGACAAAACACTCCAGTCAGTGGTTTGTCTTCCTCAGAATTCTTGTGATTCTGCGTAGACATTTGTCTGAGTCTCAGGTTGTCCTCATCACTGTGGCAAGGATTTAAATCACATCTGGGATTAAATCCTGGCACTATCACAGACTACCTGAGTAAATTGGAACAAAGTGCTGTAACATGGAGATGTCATAGGGCTGTTGGGGATTAATGAAAACTTGTAAATGGTTATAGCAGTACCTGGCATGTGGGGAACACCCAGTAGATGTTAGTGATATGACGATGGCTGTGGAGATCATGATTGTGGTGGTGGAGATGATGATAATATCTCCTTTAGACAGTGAACTCTATAAGAACGGAATCTGTGACTTTCTCATCTTTGAATTTAACTCTTAGCACAGTACTTTGCATGGAGTGGGTACTTAAATTCATAGAGGAACTAACAGTTGAGAAATCTTGCTTGAGTTTCCAGGCTGCTGGCTTGCTTACAAATTTCACACTCAAGACTGCAGTATCAGCTTCTGCCTGAATTTCTAGCCTTCCAGCCTGCCCTGTGGATTTTGGACTTGGTACTCTTATTATTGTGTGAACCAATTCCTTTAACTAAATCTCTCTCTCTCTATGTATCGTATTAGTTGTATTTCCGTGGAGAACTCCAACTGATACATATAGGTTTTGAAAGCTTAGTAAAAATAATGGATAAAACACTGAGTATTTTCTCTGTGACCAGCAATAATATGGGGAGGGGTAAAGTGATAATTTGCCATCAGGCTATGGTAGTTATAAACTCTGTCCACAAAGGACTTGATACTTCTCTCTTCCAAAGGCAGAGCTAATTCCATGGACTAAACTTAGTGACCCTAACAGATATAATGTGGTGAAGTGACAGTATTAGACTTTTGAGACCAGGTCATTAAATGCGTGGTGGCTTCCTCGCTCTCACTCGTGTCTCCCTCACTCTGGGGTAAGCCAACTGCTCCGTGTGAGGACACTCAGGCAGCTCTGCGGAGAGGGCAGAAGCTGGAGCAGCATTGCTAGAGTGTGTGTGAAAACTTGAGGAGCCTTGGAGAAACTGTCAGATGAGTGTTTGCAGGAAAGGGAGGTAAATGCTATTGGAAGCTAGAGGGAAGGGGCATCTTTGTTATGTAGTGAAGAAGGTTTAGCAGCGCAGTGACCTTCAGTAATGTGGGATGTAGAGAACACCTAAGGAAACGGGGAATCTGTCTGCAGAGCCTTTCAGACAGAGTGTTAGAGGGGCTGCCTGGTTCCTTCTTGCTGCTTACAGCAAAATATGAGAGAAGACAGAGAAGCAAAAGGAAAGGCTGTTAAACAAAAGGAGTTGGAACTTAGTGTTTCCAAAGATTCCTAGCCTTTCCCAATAGCAAGTAAAGCTAAAATTAAGAAATTACATCTGAGAAGAAATCATTCCAGACACTTTCAGGAAATTGTGGTCTGATGGTGAAATCAAGGGTGTGACTGTAAAATCCTTCATTAAAATCTGAGAAGGATCCAAGATGTTACCTCAGGAAATAATTTAATCAAACATAGTTTGTTGTGTTTTTTTCCCCCCAAAGATGCTTGAGGGCATTCTCCCTCACCAGTCTCAGCAGAAGCCCAATATTGAGAAAGGTGTGGCTTTTGTCTAATGGAATCAGTTGCAATAAGGAGTTCACATTAGGACCAAAAGTGCTTTTTTTTTTTGAGAAAGGTTAGTGCTGAGCTAACATCTGCTGCCAATCCTCCTCTTTTTGCTGAGGAAGACTATCCCTGAGCTGTGCCCATCCATGCCCATCTTCCTCCACTTTGTATGTGGGACGCCGCCACAGCATGGCTTGGTATGTGGGTGTAGATCTGCACCTGGGATCTGGACCCTCAAACCCCAGGCCACTGACGTAGAGCACACAAACTTAACTGCTGCACCACTGGGCTGGCCCCCAAAAATATTTTTTAAGAGCATTATATTGGCAGAAACATCACCAGCTTGGTCTGAAATGGAGACCAAGCTTTTACAAAATGAAAAGGCCTTTGGATCCCCAAAATTCTGTTGACAGGACCCAAGCTCGGAACCCTGTGCACCTCCAAACATAGTCTACCTCTCATTGCAAAGGAACGATAATTCGCAGGATGGAAGTGGGAGCAGAGAGTGAGCCAAGAACAATGGATAGTTATTTCTGAGCAGGAATAGGACTAAACTAATTGAGGAACTTCTAACATTTTCCTGGCTGGATTTTGGAATTGCTGTGGACCAGTGATTCCTGTTTGCCTCTTGTTGTCTCCCTTTTCTAACAGAAATGTCTATAGTGATTATCCTGTGCCTGCTGCACGTGTGTACTTTGGGTATGTGTGGGGTACATGACCTGTCTCTTTAGTTCATGGGTCTTCTAATTGTGAGTATTCTAGAAACTGCACTTAAAGAACCGCAACTGATGAGACTGAGTAAGGATTTGACTTAGATGCCAACGTCCTGGATTTCAAGCTGAAGTTGTAAAAGGACGACACTTTTTTCTTTTGTTTTTTGTGGAGCATAATGTTTAGTTTACACATGGGAAAAGTGTAAATAACTTTTGTTCAGTGGGTGGACTGTGGTGGTTTTAAAATATGCCCACAAAATTTTTAATATTCCTCTGCTGAAAAGGTAGCCCGACTCCTTTGTCCTTGAGTGCGGGCTGTTTTTAGGGACTCGAATGAGTAGAATGTGAGAGAAGTGACGGTGTTGGACTCTGACGCTGAGTCGTTAAGTGATTGTGGCTTCCTCCTCGCTTTATTTGGGATCACTTGCTTTGGGAGAAATAGCTGCCATGTCATGAGGACACTCAAGGAGTCCTGTGGAGAGGTTTGTGTGATGAGAAGCGGAGTCCTCTTGCTAAAAGCTAGAAAAGAACTTTGGTCTCCAGCCAACAGCTGTGCGAATGAGCCCGGGCAGGAAGCAGGTCCTCCAGCCCCAGGCAAGCCTTCAGATGGCTGAAGCCCAGACAGCATCTTAACTGTAATCTGGTGAGAGATTTCGAGCGAAAACCACCTGGTTCGGCCTCTGCCAGGTTCCTGACTCACAGAAACTACGTGAGATAATAAGTGTTTACTTATGTCTGAAACTGCTAAGTAATATGCTGTGCAGCAGTAGCTAACTAACAACTAGGCATAGTGGACATCATTGATAAAAGATATGTTTGCTGAAAAACAATTGTTCAGTTAATTATTAGGCAACTCAGATTTACCTTTTCTGTAACACGTGAGGTTTGAAACTCTAAAGTCAGTAGATCAAAGGCTGGATTTGTAGAGGACAGATGTCTGACTTCTACTATATTAAAGTGAAGCTGCAGTGGACGCAGACAATATCTTTTAATGTTTTGGTGAATGCATAATTTATGTGCTTCCAAATATTTTCTCATGTGCTTTGTGACTATTCCTTTGAATTTTGTCCTTTGTCTCTACTTTTTTTTCTTTTCTTTTCTTTTGCTGAGGAAGATTCACCCTGAGCTAACATCCATGTCAATCTTCCTCTGTTTTTTAGTATGTGGGCTGTCAGCACAACATGGCCACTAACAGAGTGGCTTAGGTCCATGCCTGGGAACTGAACCTGGGCTGCCAAAGTGGAACGTGCTGAACTTAAGCACTAGGCCACCAGGGCTGGCCCTGTCTCCATTTATTTAAAAACAATGTCCCAGCTGATGATTGGAATGTTGTGAGAAATAGAAGCCAGGTTTGTTCATAGATCTGAATATAAGCTACATTTTGGAAAAAGATGTTGGAGGAACTGGTAGAGACTTCTCTCTCTTCTCTTTTCGAGAACTGTGTACCTAGCAGCTGTGATTTTTTTTCCTTAACGTGAGGAGATTGTCCAAAGAATTTCTTGATTATGTAGTTAAATATGTCTTAATTTGTAAAAGTAAAAAGAGCTGAAATCCATTAAATATTTTCATATACTTATGACTTTAATATTATATAATAGTTTTAAAATTTTAGAATAATTTGGCAGGGAAAGGCTTGAAAATGAAAAAAGTATATTGATTTTTCCGTAAAAGTAGTATGATCACTCGCAAATGAATCAGCGGCAGCAAGGAAAGTTTCTTGCTGGCATTCAGCATGACTGTGTTGTCTTTGTCGTTAATAAAAAGTTCAAACTAGCAAGTGAAGCAGCTGGACCTTGACGAGTGGTTTTACGTTAGGTTGTATTTTCATCACTAACAATTATCTTTCTTTAAATTGAAATGTCTAATAACGTCCTCTTTCTCTCCCTCAGGGAATTGCTCCAAAGCTGGAGTTTTCTACAACCTCAGTGATTACTGAATGTCTGATAAGTTCAAGGAAGTGCCGCACTCAGGTGAAATCATTTATTTAAAGTGTTTCCTGGTTTATTCATCTTTATGGGCGTTTGGCAACCATTATTATTTTATTTTTTCTGGAGCTCTTTTCATTTTTTTCTGGTCAATTTTTAAAGTAAAACAATTATCATAGGTATCTAGCAGTTTGGTTACATCTTAACTGTAAGAGGGAAAAGTTTGATACACATGATAGAAGGTGCCATGATGTTTGTTTGTTTGCTTGTTTGTTTAACATCATGGGCTTTTTTTTTCACTGCAGGGGAATCAGGCTGTCAGAAGAACGTTAGGATCAGGAAGCCCCACAGAGAACAAGAATGGGGGCTTCCTTACAGCAGTTACAGGTTACCATCAAAAGTTCAAAGGGTGGTTTTTTAGCAACTGTGACCACAGGTTCTCTGGCTGGGGTATTGGTGTTTAGTGAGTATAGTTTCTTGAGTGTCTCTAGTTCTTTAAAGGACTGTTGCTCACTTTGGTGGCTGTACTGGTGCTATCAGTCAAGGGAAGCTTGGATACTGCCGTCTAAGTACCTTCTGTATTTGTAAAAACTTCATTTAGTAAACTGAGATATCTAGGTCTGATATTTCCTTCTGGTCTAGCTTCTTACTGAGTTACTGAGATGGCCTTGCTCCCTTGTCCGCAGGTTGTCTAATAATGTCTAGGCATCACTCACATGTGGTTGCATTATGACCAGGTAACAATGACCAGCCTGAGATGAAGAGCCAGTAATATATAAAGCCCAGTGGGCCCAACAGGGCAGGACTGGACCTTTGATGGAAAGAGTGGAATGTTCATTTACTTTTATCAGTTTTAGAGTAAATTTGTTGAGGATGATAACTGTGACTTAAGCTAAGAAAGGTAAAATATAGTTATAAAATTATCAAGGAGATCCTTTTTATTTTGTTTAGCAAGATACTTAGTACGTCAGAGTTTGGCTGTAGTTATTTATGTTTTAAATGCAAGCTGAAACAGCCGGCAGAGATCTAGCACCCTATGCTTGCTGAATGCAGAGCTGTTACTGACTTGTTCTTGAGATGTGTACTGTACCCATTGGTAAATTGTTAGAAGTGTTTTAATTGGGCTCATACAAAATTTTCTCGCTGCATTGGGGTATGCTTTTCTAGTGGGTGGATAGAAAAGTCTTTTTTGTCTGGAGTATAGCATACACACAGAAAGCACACACATTCAAAGCGTACAACTTAGTGGAAGAGGACCTTCTAAATGTGAAACTGTCACCCCCATTCGTAGTTTCATTGGACTTATGAACTAATGTTTTTCTCTATAAACTTTTGGGAAGACTGTCTTGTTTATTTCAAATTGCTATTTCAATGTTTGTCGTTCGTTCTTTCTTGAACAGAGATGTAAGAGAATGGGCTGTGGTGTCGGATGGTGTTTGAGAAAATATGCTTTAGAATCAGACAGATTTGTGTTCAAGTTCCTCATAAGACTACTTTAAAGATTAAATTGGAGAATATGTGCCTGGCACATAACATATAATTAATGAATTTTGTGACTGTTACTAAGGTTATTTTTTTTAAATTAAGATAATTGGGGGAGATCAGAAGCCGGTATTTGCAATATAAGATAGAAAGCATCAGCTGGTAGGCACAACAGAATATACACTTTTAGATTAAAATTCTGGCTGTTAATTGGTCTTATTTGAGAACATGATAAATCTACTTTTTTAAAAGGGGTTATTAGTTACAATTAAAACTTTAATGTCTATAAAACAGCATTTTCAAGTTCAAATGTAAGAATAAGACAAACTCTTTTGGTTTTTAAGAGAAGAGTGAGTAAAATAAACTTTATAAGATCATTTAGGTGTACAAGTACTTACCATGATCTTTATCCCTTTTGGCACATTATTTTCAAATTAGATGTTTTGCCACCAGTTGAATGGACTGAAAAAATTAAGCATATTATTGTGATTTTTCTGGAATAAAACTAGTTTTCTACTTATTCTTTTAACCTACTGCAAATAATTTATTATTAAATAGCTAAATATTCATAGCTTTATTAATATATTTGTTAATCTGTTATATCAGGTAGCTTTTGCTGTGTAAACAGTGCACTAGCACACTAATTTAGTGGCTTAAAACAGTGTTTCTCACAGTTGTGTGAATGGGATGTGTGTTCTCTGGTCTGGTCTGGTCTGGCTCGCCTGGGGCTGAGTGATCTAGTGTGGCTTCACTCCCATGTCTGGCAGTTGGCTGACTGTTTGGTCTGGGAGGGACTTTACATTTCTGGTAGTTGGCTTGATTTCAGCTGGGGCAATGGCCACAAGATTCCCATCATCTAGTAGGTTAATTTCGGCTCATTCACGTGGTGGCAGGAAGGTTTTCGGAACTAAAAGACCCCAAGCACTTTTCAGGTCTCTCCTTGTGTCACATGTGCTATTGTCCTGTTGGTCAAAGGAAAGAACGATTTTATAAACAGTATAAAGCAGCTGCTGTTTTACGTTTTATGGGTTATTAATAGGATGCGTTAGGATTGAGTAGAGTTAGACAACATGTATCTGTAGTAGATACTCCACCGTTTATGACTTCCTCTGGTAGTATTCAGCATTCAAAAATTGTAATGAAGAAACAAGATGATGAGGTTAGTTACTTTAGGTTTGGTATAATCAGAGGTGGGTAAGAAGGAACGGTACTGAAATGGATGAAATTGCCGAAATGGATCATAATGGGTTCATCTGGGTCTGGTGGTAAGAGACACTAAAAATGTATGAAGGTCTGGGGGAAAGAGGTCCAGGGGCTGAGGAGGTGAGGAGGGCAAGTAACAAGTTCAGTGAGAATAAAAGAAGTAGGTTGGGGAAGAGAAGTTTTGGGATTTTCAGAGGCTGAGATACAGTGGATCTGTAGAATGATGAAATCTAAGATGAAGTCGAAGAAGATAATTAGAGCTGAGAACTAGAAAATTTAAGTCCAAGGTCTTGGAAAGATTCATTGCTTGAACATTTTATTAAACCTCAAAGGGCCTTTCATGTGCTAACATTCCTGCTTCTGTGAGTCAGTGTGATGTCATAGAGATGGATGAAATGGGATAAGGCAGAAAAATTCTGAATTACTTGTTGAAGTTGTTGAACAAGGTGGGAGAAGGTTCAGCAGCACATCAAGAGTTGTAGAGGAAAGAAAGACGATGAAATAATCTGATGCTGCGGGTTTGTATGAAACTCATGACTTATTTTTCCAATTGGAAAATATGTTTTCGGGGCTGGCCCCGTGGCTGAGTGGATAAGTTCGCTTCAGCGGCCCAGGGTTTCACCGGTTTGGATCCTGGGCATGGACGTGGCACCACTCATCAGGCCATGCTGAGGCAGCGTCCCACATGCCACAACTAGAAGGACCCACAACCGAAATATACAACTATGTACTGGGGGGATTTGGGGAGAAAAAGTGGAAAAAAAAAAGATTGGCAACAGTTGTTAGCTCAGATACCAATCTTTAAAAGAAGAAAAGAAAAGAAAATATGTTTTCTTTCCTGTTTATTTATCTACTTTTGAAAAATATTTGACTCTTCTCCCTTCTGTTTCACATCTATATTTTATTTGCTTAGAATAGATACCCTTAGCAAGTATGGAAGGGAGATGAGAAATTAGAAAGGGGCTAGGATTAGTGGTTTTTTAAAGTGATTAAAGTTAGGAGGATATTTAAAGGAGGACATGTTATCCTAATAATGCAAAAGAATTTAGCCATATCACATTTGGTTTTTAAAATTTTAGACTGCTCACCAATTTTAGTAGAAGGTAGAGTACTAGTCATTAAAGTTTATAATGTCTTTTATATGTTTTTAGTTTTGTAAAAGTATGGATCCAGAATTCAGATGGTATGGTTATCTGTCATTGAATTGTAAAGTCATAGTTTGGAAGAGATCTTACGATCCTAATCACCTTGTGTAATCCAAATAATACATTTCATGAAAATATGTATAAAGTTGTTATTCAGATTTTCACATTGTACATATGAATATGATCATAGCAGTGTGAATTAAACTTATTTTAACAGTTTTCTCCGTACAAATTTCATAATCAACTAATTAGACATGTGTATTTATAATGTTACCCAACAAAATCTCTTAAATTTTATAGCCAATTGTTTGGATACTTAATTATAAATGATAAACTAATGTTTACATTAATTTTTTAGTAAACTGAAAAAATACGTTTTCTGACTTTGTTTCTTAGATTTTTCAAATGATTAAATATTGGGCTTTCATTTTCATAAAATACTTGTTAGACTTAAGGAGGAAGTTTGTTTGATACAGTATACTTTAAAAATTACTAGACAGAGTTATCTAGGAGAATGTGGATTTGACCTCCCCCAGGATCTGCACAGGTAGGAAAGACTGATTTAGTTGACTTTGGTAGATGATGTGTGCCTTAAATTACTTTTTCAGGTTTTTTTCTCCTTGTAGTTTATGTATGTATATCTTCTATCCAAGTTAATTTTTATTTTTTCTGTCTAGGATAAATTTATTTACCATCCGGCTCCAGTTGAAAAATCACACGGCAGACTGCCAAGCAGAACATCTAGATCACAAAAGAAAAAGTCCAAGTCACCTGAGAGAAATAAGTATTGCGTAAATGCAAAAAACTACGAACAGCCTACAATTTCTTCAAAATCACACTCTCCATCTCCCTACACAAAAAGACGCATGTGTGAGCTATCTGAAGACACCAGGCGGCGGCTAGCCCATTTAAATCTGGGACCCTATGAATTCAAAAAAGAAACAGATAAACCTCCATTTGTGATTAGACATGTATGTGTTCTCTTAAACATTTCCAACTGAAATTGATCTAATCTGTTCTTCCGCTAAAAGATTATTCTGAAACTTCTTTCAGCTTCTAGTTTATATTAATAATTTTCTTCCCTGAACAGTCTGTTAGCCTAGCAATCTAAAATGGAAAATTAACTTAGAATAAAAGAATATTCTTTTGTCAGTCTTTAAACCTGACAGAAATCAAGGTCTATTATGAATGCCGTGTTAAATCCTCTGAGTGCCCGTTTCCTTCCTTCCTTAAACAGTGGACAGTGTAATAACTCTACAAATTGAAATTAGGTGTAATTGACATTTGTACTAAAATGGCAGAAATAGAGTTTTAAAAGTGAACTAAGTTTTCCTTAGAAAAGGAAGTAATCCCCACCCACCCACCATCCAGCCTTTTAAAAAATTATAATGAAAAGTAAGTTTCCTTTGAAATTATGTCCCTTGGGTAAACCTTACATGATGGATCTTTGAAACCAATCGTTATTTCATGAGGATGGGAAGGCCTTTGAAAGTGGAGAGAGTTAACTTAAGGATAGTGTAGTTCTAATCTTTCCACATGGAAGCCTGCTTTTGATATGGTTTAACTTTACAGCTTGTGTTCATGTGATAGTTGAATAGACTTTGGCTAATTTTAAGGGTCTATAATCAGAATATTTAATAAATGATTTTCCCAGAATCTTCATGGTTTATTGAATTTTTGTAAAGAATTTTTACCTTAAAAGCATTTCTTTAAGAAAAGCTTGCAAATTAATGGAAATTACTAATGAATATACATAATAGTAATAAACTTTAAGATTTAAGTGCCTGTAGAAGCAAAACAACTTTTTGGAATATCTATAAAACTATTTCTAACTTTACTGTCTCTAATTCTTTTTTTCCAAATTCTAAAATGTAAATACAAATGTAAACATGTAAATATGCTCCTTTGATGGCCCAATAGCTTTTTGAACATAGACCAACCGAAAATTCATATTTTCTTTGTGACATCCTTTAAAAAAAATTTAGATGTTCCTTAAGCAACATTTCATTCCATCTTTATATTTTGACTATGAATCATTTATTCTCTCTCTTTTTTTTTTTTTTTTGAGAAAGATTGGCCCCGAGCTAACATCTATCATCAATCCTCCTCTTTTTACTGAGGAAGATTTAGCCCTGAGCTAACATCTGTGCCCATCTTCCTCTATTTTATATGTGGGACGCCTACCACAGCATAGCTTGATAAGTGGTGTGTAGGTCCGTGCTGGGGATCGTAACTGGTGAACCCCAGACCGACGAAGCAGAGTGCAAGAACTTAGCCACTATGCCACCAGGCTGGCCCGAATCCTTTGTTCTTTATCCTAAAGTAATAGACTTTTTTTTATTGTAAAAAGAAAATTTATAACGTAATGGTACTTTTAAATGATAATAGTTTATTGAGATTACTGTGATGACGTTTTTCTTATTTCTATAGAGTTTGTTTATAGTTTTGGTTACATTTTTTGAACAATATCCAGATAATGTTTACTTGCTTGTTTGATGGCAGTTTCAGAATGCCTTGAATTTTATGTCTGCCCACAATTGCAAATTAAATTGAAAAGAAAGGACATAGTAAATTTGAATCTGAATGACTAGTAGCATTTTATTTAAAATGCCTCTGTACAATGATAACCAGGAATATTTAGGGCGTTAGCCACATAAAAATTGTTTGGGGAAATAAGTACTCTTAAAATGTTTATTTCTATTATTCTTTTTCACACCAGTGTTCAAAATAGAATAATTCTAATACTGCTTGGTATAAACCTTGACATTTTTATTTAAATGATTTCCCTGTCAGCTTTCCAGTGAACAGAAAGAAATGCTTACTCTAAACCTCTAGTTAGAAAATTGTTTACCTTATTTTACAGGAAACTAGATTTTTCCAGTTTTATTTGTAAACATAGAGATGTCCGTTTTTCCCCATAGCCGTTCGTGATTTTAAAAACACATAAGTAACCAAAAAATTTTAATTTAATACATGCATACGCAAAAAGTTAACACTTTTAGGGAAGACATACCAGTTTTACATAGATTGGATAAAGAGTAATCTTAAAGAATAAGGAGCAGTTTCATGAAATCAACTAGCATGTTCCCAAACAAACTGGCACAACCATCCTAGAGGAGTTAACCAGCATTCTTTTCTTTTTCATTCATGCGGAATAGGATCTTTTTTTTTCTATTGTGGTAAAATATGCATAATGTAAAATTTACCATTTCAGCCATTTTAAAGTGTATAATTCAGTGGCATTAAGTACATTCGTATTGTTGTGCAGCTGTCACCACTATCTAGTTCCAGAGCTGTTCTTGTCGTCCTGTGTGGAAACCCTGTCCTCTTTAAGCATCTGCTTCCCATGCCTCCCTTTCCCTAGACCCTGGCAGCCACTAACATGCTTTCTCTCTCTATGGATTTTCCTGTTTTGCCGTTTCATATAAATGGAATCCTACAATATTTGGCCTTTTGTGTCTGGCTTTTTTCATTTAGCACAATGTTTTCGAGTTTCATCCATGTCATAGCATGTATCAGTACTTGATTCTTTTTATGGCTGAATAATCCATTGTATGAATTTATACCACATTTTGTTTATCTATGCATCTGTTGATGGAATTTGGGTTATTTATGCCTCTTAGTTATGTGACTGGTACTTCTGTGACATTTGTATACAAGTTTTTGTTTAAATACTGTTTTAATTCCTCATTGCTTGAATATTTAGGAGTGGAGTTGCTGGGCCCTATGGTTGAGGAATTGTCGACCTGTTTTCCACAGTGATTGCCCCATTTTACATTCACGCCAGCAATGTATGAGGTTTCTAATTTATGTACGTTCTCACTAACAGTTGTTATTTTCTGTTTTGTTTTCTTTTTACTATAGCTGTCCTGGGGGTGTGGAGTGGGATCTCATTATGGTTTTGATTTCATTTCCCTGATGACTAATGATGTTGAGCATCTTTTCCTATGCTTGTTGGCCATTTGTGTATCTTCTTTGGAGAAATGTCTATTCAAATTTTTGCCCATTTTTAATTGGGTTGTGTGTCTTTTCCTTGTTCAGTTGTAAGTTTTCTTTACATATTTTGGGTTCTAGATCTTTATCGGGTATGATTTGCAAATATTTTTTTCTCATTCTGTGGCTTGTCGTTTCACTCTCCTTTTTTTTAAATTTTAATTTAAAAAATTGTAAAATATACACAATATAAAATTTACCATTTTAATTAGTTTTTTGTGTACAGTTCAGTGGCATTAAGTACATTCACATTGTTGTGTAATCATGACCACCATCTATCTCCAGAACATTTTCATCTTGCTAAACTAAAACCCAGTACCCACAACAATAACTTCCCATTCTTCTTTCCCTTCAGCCCCTGGCACCTACCATTTTGCTTTCTGTCTCTGTGGATTTGACTACTTTGGGTACTTCATCTAAGTAGAATTATACAATATTTGTTCATTTGTGACTGGCTTATTTCACTTAGCATAATGTCATCAAGGTTCATCTACGTTATAGCATGTGTCAGAATTTCCTTCATTTTTACAGCTGAATAATATTCTTTTTTTGTTTTTTCTTTTTTATTGCAGTAAACATTGAATTATAACATTATGTAATTTTCAGGTGTACATTGTAATATATTTCAAATTCTGTATAGATTACATCATGTTCTCACCCAAAGACTAATTACAGTCCATACCATACACATGTGCCTAATCACCCCTTTCACCTTTCTCCTTACCCGCTTCCCCTCGGGGAACCACCAGTCCAGTCTCTGTCTCTATGTGTTTGTTTGTTGTTGTTGTTACCTTCTACTTATGAGTGAGATCATACGGTGTTTGACTTTCTCCCTCTGGCTTATCTCACTTAGCATAATACCCTCAAGGTCCATCCATGTTATCACAAATGGCCGGATTTCATCATTTCTTATGGCTGAGTAGTAGACCATTGTGTATATATCCCACATCTTCTTTATCCATTCGTCCCTTAATGAGCACCTGGGTTGCTTGCAAGTCTTGGCTATCGTGAATAATGCTGTGATGAACATAGGATTGCAGGTATTCTACGCATTTGTGTTTTCAAGTTCTTCGGATACATACCCAGCAGTGGGATAACTGGATCATATGGTAGATCTATCCTTACTTTTCTGAGGAAACTCCATACTGTTTTCAGTAGTGGCTGCACCAGTTTGTAGTCCCACCAGTAGTGTATGAGGGTTCCCTTCTCTCCACATCCTCTCCAACACTTGTTTCCTGACTTGTTAATTATAGCCATTCTGACCGGAGTGAGGTGATATCTCATTGTAGTTTTGATTTGCATTTCCCCAATAGTTAAAGATGTTGAACATCTTTTCATGTGCCTGTTGGCCATCCATATATTTTCTTTGGAGAAATCTCTGTTCAGACCTTTTGCCCATTTTGTAATTAGGTTGTTGGTTTTTTTGTTGTTGAGATGTATGAGTTCTTTGTATATTTTGGATATTAACCCATTATCTGATATATGGTTAGCAAATATCCTCTCCCAGTTATTAGGTTGTCTTTTCATTTTGTTGATGGTTTCCTTTGCTGTGCAGAAGCTTTTTAGTTTGATGTAGTCCCAATTGTTTATTTTTTCTATTGTTCCCCTTGCCCAGTCCGACATGGTATTTGAAAAAATGCTGCTAAGACCGATGTCAAACAGCGTACTGCCTAGGTTTTCTTCTAGAAATTTCCTGGTGTCAGGTCTTACATTCAGAATTTCCTTCCTTTTTACAGCTGAATAATATTCTTTTATAGATATATACTGCATTTTGTTTCTCTGTGCATCTGTTGATGGACACTTGTTGCTTCTACTTTTTGACTGTTGTGAATAATACTGCTGTGAACATGGTGTAAAAATATCTGAAGTGGAATTGCTGGATCATATGATAATCCTATTTTGAATTTTTTGAGGAACCACCATACTATTTTCCATAATACCTATACCATTTTGAATTCCCACCACCAGAGCACAGGGCTTTCAGTTTCTCCACATCCTGGCCAACACATATTATTTTCTTCTTTTTGTTAATAGCCATCCTAATGGGTATGAAGTAGCATCTCACTATGATTTTGATTTGCATTTTCCTAATGATTAGTGATGTTGAACATTTTTCCATGTGCTTATTGGTCATTTGTATATCTTTTGGAGAAATACCTATTTAAGTTCTTTGCCCATTTTTAGATTTTTTTGAGTTGTAGAAGTTTATTTAGTCTAGATATTGATGCCTTATTAGATAATGATTTGCAAATATTTTCTTCTATTCCTTGGGTTCCCTTTCACTCTCTTTGATGTTGTCCTTTTAGGCATGACGTCTTTAATTTTGAACACAATTGTCTTTTTACACAGATTTATATCACTCTGACTTTTTAATTTTTGGTTAGAAAATGTGGTTGACTGTTACTGTCTATCAGCTCTAAAGCTCTCAGTGTGCTGGGCTCTGAACACAGGCAAGTGAAGACACTGTTTGAATTCTAAATTATGCGCTAAGGAGATAAGTAGCAAATGGCTAAACTTGCCTTTTGAATGTGGCAAAGTAAGATTTCTCTTTTTCTTTTTTAAAGATTGGCACTGGAGCTGACATCTGTTGCCAATCTTTTTTTTATTATTATTATTCTTCCCATCAAAGCCCCCCAGTACATAGTTGTGTGTTCTAGTTGTGGGTCCTTCTGGTTGTGCTCAGCATGGCCTGAGGAGTGGTGCCACCCACGTCCGCGTCCAGGATCAGTACTGGTGAAATCCTGGGCCACCGAAGCGGATCGCGCAAACTTAACCACTTGGCCACCGGGCTGGCCAGATTTCTCTCTCTCTTTTTTTTAACTTTGTAATGGAAAGCAAACTAAGCAATGGAGTAATGGACATTTCAAGTGTAAATCTGTTCATTTAAAGTAGACTCAAATATATAATTAAAAATTTCTGGATTTTAATTTCTATTTTATTTAAAAATGAATGGCAAAATTCTCAACTAAGCTCTGGTTTTGGAATGTGCCATATAGGCACTATCATGGTAACCTGATGATGGGAGGTCTGTATACTTGATTTTCTGGTGCTGTGAGACTGAAAGAACATTTAAGCTTTTTTCTACATTGAAATCCTCCTTCTTCTAGGTTGATCCCCCAAGTCCCAGGGCTGATGGTTTATTTGGACCTTCTGGCAGAGACTGTGAAAGAGATGGATGGTCCAGGATGCACAGTGGTAAGCTGCAAGTCCTCTCTCTTCATTGCTTTAGTTGCCATGGCTACCATCAGGCCTTTAACTTGGCATAGATTAACGAAAACAGAATGAGCTCTCACCAGAACCTGACTGTGTCGGCACCTGTATCTTGGACTTCCCACCTCCAAAACTGTGAGAAATAAATGTCTGTAGTTTGTCACCTAGTCCATGGTACTTTGTAATGGCAGCCTGAGAAGACTAATACAGATATTATCTTATGTGATATAGTTATTAAAAGCAGGAAATTAACAATGATATAATAATATTAACTAATCTATAAAGCTGAATGAGATTTTGCCACTTGTTTTAACAATATCTTTATAGCAAAAGAAATCCCACATCATGCATAGCCTTCAGTTGCCATGTCTCTTTAGTTTTCTTTAATATTGGTCAGTTCCTTAGTCTGTCTTTGTGTTTAATAACATTGATAATTTTGAAGTTATTTTGTAGAATGTCCAGTTAAATTGTAGAATGTCCCTCAATTTGAGTTTGTTTGATTTTCCCTCATGATTAGCTTTAGATTATTCGTTTTTCCCCAGAATACAACAGAGGAGATGTGTTACTCTCAGGTACATCATGTCAGGAGGTACGTGATGTTGCTTTGTTACTGGTGATGTTAATTTGCTCACTTGATTAAGATGGTGTCTGCTAGGTTTCTTCATCACAGAGGTGCTAATTCTTCCCTTTGTAATTCTGGGGAGATACTTTCAGACTATGTAATATCCTGTTACTCCTCAACTTTGACCCTTTTAGCATACATTGATGATTCTTGCCTGAAACAATTTATTGCCATGATGTTTGCTAAATAGTGATTTTTTTAATTCCATTATTATACGTTTATTACTTGCCTTTCTACTATACAGAGTTTTTCCTTCTCATTTCTCTAATTTTAATGCCCCTGTTCTTTTGAGTTGAGCAGTTATGTTTTGTTACTGCTCAAAATTGGGGTTCTCCTACCCAATGCACATAAAAAAAGCCAATTATTATGGCATCAGCTTTGGAGAAAAAAACCAGCTTTGTTGCTAGATCAATCTGCAGGGAGACAGGAGGCATATGTTCTCAGATCTCTCTCCCCAATTCGGGATTTGGGGTGAAATTTAAAAGATTAGGGAGAAGAATCTGGCACATGGAAACCCTGGCAGGGTGGGTTTTGGTTGGTGGGCATTCATAGTAAGATTTTAACCATTTATGGTAAGGTGAGGAAGGGATTTTAACACCGGATCTTCCTGGGTGATGGACTCCCTTGCCTCTGATGAGAGTCCAACTTTCAACTTCTGGTCATGTCCTGGTCCTTTAGTTCCGTGGGAAGGAGAATCTTTGGTTCCACGGTCATTTCAGGTCAAGGTTTCCTCTTCTGTGCATGCTCTGGCTATGTGACTTGGCAGATTTTCTGAAAAACAACGCTTAATCACTCTGTTGATAAGAGATGGTGTCAATTCGAACTGGCTCTAGTGGGCCTATGGTTACATTTTGGGGTCTCATCAGCTACTTAAATACCTATGGAAATTTATGGTAGAGTCTCTTCAGTAGAGTGAATTTTCACTTGTGACTATCTTTAATGGAAATTCTCCTTGAACATTTTCTTGCAAATTATCATTTCATTTTTACGTAAGATTGTAATCTTCTATGAGCTTCCACTAATCCCTCTGTTTGAAGGTTATTGTTTGTAAAGTAAAATAAATTGGAAATAACATTCCAAATCCTAATAGGTCATATCTTGAGTAGAATGCAACAAATGGTAATATTCTGATGTTTTCTGAATACAATAGTATGTAGTCATCATGTATATACTTATTAGCAAAATATTTGTTTCAGCTTTTATTTGAATGTATGCCTCCTTGTCTCTTAGAGCAGCAGGCAGCTGAATAGTTTTTGTTTTAGGAACTTCTTTTTTAGTTTCTTTATTTCTCTAATCTTAAACATTTTTCACAGCTTGAGGTATAATTTATATAGCGTGAAATTCACCTGTTTTAAGTGTATAATTAAATGATTTTAATAAATTTGCACAGTTGTGAAATCACGACAATCCACTTTTAGAATGTTTCCATCGTCCCAAAGAGTTTCCTTATACCCGTTTGCAGTAAATCTGCATTCCCACCCTGATCCCCTGGATGGTTTCCACTTTTTAGCTATTATGAATAATGCTACTATGAACGTTTGCATTGAAGTCTTTGCAGGGATGTATGTTTTCATTTCTCTTGGATAGATACCTAGGAATGGAATTGCTGATTCATTTGGTAAATTTATTTAACTTTTTATGAAATTGCCAACTGTGTTACAATGTGGCTGCACCATTTGACATTCCTGCCAGCGGTGTATGAGGTTTCCAGTTTCCCTTCATCCTTGACATCACTTGTTATTGCCACTTTTTATTGTAACCATTCTAGTGGGTATGCAGTCCCAGCTCATTGTGGTTTTAATTTGCATTTGACTAGGGCATTGAGTGTTTTTTCACATGCTGATTAGCCATTTGTGTATCCTTTTTGAAGATCATCACTCTTCTAGTCACTGACTGGTAAGCAGGGAACTTGCTGTGTGCTAAACTTCACAGAAGAAGAAAAGTGAGGGGAAAAGTGTGAGACACTTGCTACCAAAACTTTGACTGCCATAGAAATAAGAAAGATAAAAATATTAGAGGTTGGACTAAACGGTTTCAGGTGAATATATCATAAGTGAACAAGAGATAGGAAACACTCTGTTATGTGCCTTTCCTTTTTAGAAGGTTGGATCCCCTGAAAGATATTAAACCCTGGTTTTGTTTTATAAAGCTGGACATCCTAGCTTTGCTTCTAGTTGTAGGGACTGATATATGTCAGACGCATTGGCTGCACACTCCATGAAGATTCGCGGGAGAGCAGGGGCCCACCTTAGAATGTTATGTGGGCATTGGGGTACCAGTAGAGTAAGTGCTGATAAAGAACTTTAAGGGAAGATGCTCTTTGAAGGTTCAAATAGGTACACACATTCAGCATCATGGAAGTTTTGCAATAGTAGTAGCACTAACTACTGGAATGGGCTTCAATTCCTTGAAGTTGTGAAAAGGAAAGATGAATACCCTTAACAATAGGGTGCTATGAAGGTTGCCAAGATAGGGATTGACTCATAGGGAACATGTACTGGCTATAATTGTCAGAATGGGGCTCAAGAACTACTTTGACAGAAAGAATGAGTTGATGCAGAAGTGCTGAGGTTTAGGTGAAAGCTTCTTAAGTCCTTGCTTAAAGTCAGGATTGGTCCTTTAGGACTGAGTCATATCTGACCATGTTGGGTGAGGGTCAGCTATGGAGAGAGGATGGATGCAGAGGCTCTAAGTTATCAGACTACTCCCACTGTGAATGGTGACTGTAGTACAAAGTGGGTCTTAATTTCTATACTAGATGGGTGCTAAGGAAATGTTTTGATGACTGATTGCCTCATTTTGTTTTTGACCAGTACTGTTACTCACTACTTGGTATTTGATTAATCGGATTATATATCACATCCATTTGGTTAACAAATCCAAATGTGATGTCGTTTTTGAAACTAAAGACACTTTTATTCTCCTGTGTGCTTTTGTTCTTGGGATAAGGAAATCTTCTACTATCCTTATATTAGTGGAAGTACCACTGAACTAATCGAAGACTTCAGCTCCGTTACTTGTTAGCTGTATAGAAAGTCAACCTCCTGAAATGTAACGTAGAAATAATAGCCAGTCTTAGGTGTTATATTAGTCTGCTCAGGCTGCCATCACAAAATAACGTAGAATGGGGGCTTAAACAACAGGTGTTTTTTTTTCTCACAGTTCTGGAGGCTGGTAAGCACAAGATCAAGGTGCTAGCAAGGTAGGTTGCCTTCTGAGATCTGTTTTCTTTGCTTATAGGCAGCTGTCATCTCACCGTATGCTCACATGACCTCTTCCGTGTGTGTGCATTGAGAAAGAGATTGTGAGAGAACACGTGTGAGCACGTGCATGTGTATGAGTGCAAACTCTGCGTCTCTTATTATAAGGGCACTCTTTCCATCATGAGGGCCCCACCCTCCTGACCTCATCTAACCCTAGTTACCACCCAAAGGTCCCATTTCCAAGTACCATCACTTTGAGGGTTAGGTCTTCAACATATGAATTTTAGGGGGACACAAACATGCAGTCCATATTTCATGAGGTCATTGGAGAATCAAATAATAGCTAAAATTTATCAAGTGTACATTTTCTGCTAACTGCTATTCTAAGTACTTATATTTCATTGGTTAATTACTCATGGTAACCTCAAGAATTTTAGATACTATTATTTACCACCATTTTACAGGTGACAAAACATGAGGTTTAAAGAAGCAAGTTGTTTAAGATCACACACACACACACACACACGCACGCATGCACACGCACGTACTCTCTGAATTAGCTCTTTCTTTTTCTTCATGCTTTTAAGTGTGACCCATTCATTAAGGCCCAGGTCAACTTTCCCTTTCTTTAGGAAGTGTCTCCTGATTGCCTTCAACCTTGAGAGATTGATCTCTGATATGACTTTTTAATAGTGTTAATTGTCTGGACCATTCTCTTTTAGCCTGTTCTTTTATGCTGCTGTTAGTCAACTTTGTATAACTTAACCGAAATAAATTATAAGCATTTCACAACCATGGGCCATGACTTTTATCTCCTTTGTCTCCTGCATTTACAATATAGTTAGTGCCTAATTGTTGGTAAGAGTGATTAAATGTGAACACTGGGAAGCTTAATTTGTAAAAATGAAAGAAAATTATAAATCTATCTGAATTAGGGTAAGTTTATAAATGGTTTGTGGAAAGCAGAAGATATACTAGTGTTTTAATATATTGATACTTTTAATATTATATTAGCTGTCAGAAAGAATATATACCATGTCCAGAAATCATTACCTTACTTTTCAAAGTTAGCAAGTTTGGAAAATTCAGCTTAGTATGTTCTTAGAATTCTTTTATTTCTTCTGCTACTTGTGGCCATGCTGTACAGTAGACTTGACAGAGGAGGAGTTGAGCTGGGGTTTATTTTCATTTTGAATTTTAAAAAGCACTCGAAGTAAGTTAAATCTTACTTAATTAAATGGTGAAGTTGGCCTTGTGTGAAAGATGTTAATGTTTCAGCTATTCTCTATAATGATTCAGGACACTTGGAAAGCAAACGACATCTGTGCAGTAAAACAAAGATAATTAATTGACTGAATATAGGCTATCCTAGGTCTCTATCCATATAGCCATGTTTTTTTTCCTGGACAAAGTGGTTTGGGAAGGTAAAATACAGAATATTGGAATGCTTTTGATCATAATGTATGAGTAAGGAAGTAGAATTGCAAATGGTTCTGACTATCAATGTAACAGAGATTATAATACTTAAAAGTTGATTCTTGAAAGTTGACTCCTTTAAGTAATGAGTAAAACTCAAAATCTGCATCTACCATGTAGTGGTCCTTATCTTAGGGACCTTATCTTAGGGAGAGATTTAGAATAGTTTTATAACCCACTATGTCATAGATGCTGTGCTAGGGACTTTCATAAGTTGTATAATTTAATCATAACTATGACTCTCTGAGGTAAAGTGAGCATTGTCTTCATACTTTTATGAGGAATGAAACACAGATTAATTATATAACTTGACCAAATTAATATATCTGGAAAGTAGTGGAATCAGAAATTGAACCTAGGCTTGTTTGACTTAGAATTCAATAGTAATGATGTTGATGATGGTGTTGGTAATAATAGTTAACATTTATTTTGTTGCCTTACGTGTAATATCTAATGTAACCTTTCAAACAATATTATAGTTGAGGAATCTGAGACTCAGAAAGGTTAGGTAATGTGCCCAAGGGGTCATACATGAAATACTGGAGCCTGGACTGTCGTACAGATCTATTCATCAACAAGGTCTGTACACTATAGTATACTACCACCATCTAAAGCTCATCCTGTTTTCATTATACTCGCTTGATTCTAGCATCGATTTCAAGAATAGTAGGAATACATGTAGTTTGACAATATCTATCAAATCTATATATTGAAATTACATTTCATCATAAACTAATTTATCAACTAAAATTATCCATTTCATTTAGACAAATTAGTTTATCAATTAAAAATTAATCTGGTCTATATTCAGATATGTCCTACTCTAATGAAAGTAGTGCTTGTGAAATCAGTTACTGAAGGCCTGATACAGATTTTAACTTGTCATCTTTGCTTATGTAACATTGTTGACGGATTTTAAGATATTTCTGAAAACTGCTGTATGAATTATAATCATAGAAGCAGAGTGACAGTAGCAGAAATCAAAGATGTAACCAAATTTTCTTCTTTTGCTATGAAATATGTTGGGTTTAATTCTTTTTTACATACTTTTTCAGATCACTCTCATCTTGGCTGCTACCGACCCAAGGATTATAAGGTATGTAGAATAAATTACAGAAGGATAATTGTCCTGGCTTTCAGAAAAAAGCATAAGTATGTTTCTTATATGTATAATCAGAGATTCTCACATTCATTTAGTCAAGAAAATGCACAGACAATAATTGTCATATTATGCTATGTTATTATTTTGGCTGTGTTGTCAAGTGGTAGAATAGACTTCATTGAATGTCTTCCTACAACTGTTTTGTGGCTTTTGATTGTTCATCTGGATTAATTATTTATTGAATGTGTTAGTCTATGTATATATGTGTGTATGTAAGAGGGAGAGACAAATAGAGAAATTGCTTGTTACTTTTAGTAATACCTCACACAGTAATATTTCTAAATTTTAGTCATTCATAGAGCATCCTCATAATTTATGCAATATTTTCATTCAACTTACGCTATTTTCTTTAAATTCACCATCTTTTTATTTATCTCACCAGTGTAATTGAAAAATCAATATCATATGCTTTAAATGGATGATAGCCTTAAAAAATATGGTGAAAACAAAACAATGTTACTAAATTCTGGCTAGGTAACCGTTGTTTTCCAAAGGCTCTGAGGCATGTTCTCTATTTCTTAAAATGAGATAAGCAACGATAGATGTAAGAGACATACCGATAGCTAACTGAGGATTTCTGAATGAAAGAGAATTGAAAAGAAAATACATTTTTTTCTTTGTGATTCAGTGTTGTGCAGTGTGTATCCATGTGCCATGCAAAATCCTCTTGTGTATCATCTAAAGTCATTTTGGGTAACGTATTAAATTATGTGCCACAGCAGTTCCTGTCCTACATTTTGAGAAGCAGTGCCTCAGACTTTGTATTTTCTGTCCCTAAGTGAAAGCTTCTTAATAAGAAGTGTTTTATATTTGGGAAAACAAAACAAAGAGCACAACTTTCCTTATAATACGTTTGTTTCTTTACTTGAAAACAGTCTATTTCGTGCTTACTGGCACTGAAGAGCATAGTGCTGTGCCTTGCTTTGAGTGTGATAAACGAAATATGGAATAGTTAAGTAACGAGTCAAGGCACCATGTGACTAAGGCTCAAATCTCCCATAGTGTCAGAATCAACCAGGTGGAACTTCATAAAAATTCATTCCAGGTCTGCTAAATTGAAATACTTGAGAACAGGGACTGGAAATTTTTATTTTTAACAACTTTCGAGGTGATTCTTATGCAGCTGTCTTGCCGTCTATGGGAGGATTGGCATTTGAGAACCATTAGTATAGACTATGAATATAGCGCTTACGAGGACAGAACTGTTCCTTGTATAGTGTTTGTGTAGAGTTGTGCTTGTGTTTAAGGCTGTCCCTGGAGGAGTATGAGCCTGGCATACTTCACCTGGTACTGACTCACCTGTTATGTGGAATTTACTCAAACACACACGCACACATACTTGCACACTGATGTGTGTAATATATATGCTCTTGCACAGACACGCATGCATGCACACACACCTGCATACCTGCGCACACATACACACATCAAAAACATAATGTTCAGTGTCTTGCATGGGGCCAAGGGAAGCCACCTTAGTTGTCCTACCTAAGGAACAAGCCTGTCTTTGTACATTTCCTTCAAGTCATACGTCACAGTTTATAATGATGTATTTATTTTCATCTTTATTGAAAGTCTTCCTGTTTTACTAACCTGTAAGTCCCAGGATGGCAAGGATCTTATTGATCTTGCTTGTTGGTAATTGCTAGTACCTAGCAGATTGTCTGACACATAGTGTGGATTCCTAAAATATGTGTATTGTATGAGTGGATTATTATGAGAAAGCAAGTAAACCAAAAATATAAAAGTACAGAATGAAGAGAAAGGGATAAAGTTTATAAGACGCTAATTTTTATCCAAAGCTAACAATAGTCCAGCTCTACGTTGGCTGGTCCATTTAAAGACAGGTGTGTATTTGGAACGCTCTCTTCTAAATGAATTGTTTAAAGGACTGCACTTCTGTCTGTCTTTAAGTTCCCTCAGCCTCACCTCTGGAGTCTTCACTTTTAGGGTTAGAGTAGAAATTGATTATTCCTGCTACCCTTGTAAGGCAATAGATGGTAAATGAGCTTACAGGATTATTTTTGTAATGAGGAGATAGATTTTCATAGAAATACATATGCAGCATTGAACACTGCTGTATTTTCTATGGAAAGAAAAAAGATTGTTTCCTTATAGGCATATAGTAGCTGGTTAATAAATATTCCAGTGGTGGAACTCTATAGGATTTCTGCAAGGAAAGAGTTATGAAGCTAGGAATGCTTGCAAAAAATTTTCTAGAAAAGTGGGACTTTGCCTGAGTTCTTTTGAGAAATATATTTTGCGTAGGCAAGAGAAGAGAGAGGAGTGTCTTCAGAAGGAAAGCAATATGAAAAAGTCTTGGAGTTTGGAATAAGTACAATGTCCTGGGATAAAAGAGAAACTACTGGTCTGGCTTGAGTGGATGATATATATTGAGGAATAATGGCTACTTAACATCCTTACTTTCTATTTTTTCTACTTCTCTATACCTATTTTATCTGCTGCTTCTCTCTTTAAGATTTCTAGTTGCTTGATCATTATTTGTTCTTTTGACCAAACTCAACTCTCTTCACCCTGGATGCATTATAATCAGCTGTTCTATAATTACTTATGTTCTTCTAGTCTCATTTCTTTTCTGTTTTTTTTTTTTTTTTTTTTTTTTGAGGAAGATTAGCGCTGAGCTAACTACTACCATTCCTCCTCTTTTTGCTGAGGAAGGCTGGCCCTGAGCTAACATCCCTGCCCATCTTCCTCTATTTTATATGTGGGATGCCTGCCACAGCATGGCTTGCCAAGCGGTGCCATGTCTGCACCCAGGATCCGAACCTGCAAACCCCAGGCCGCTGAAGTGGAACGTGCGTACTTAACCACTGCGCCACTGGGCTGGCACCTCTTTTCTGTTCTACCATTACTCCATCCAGAATCCTTGGCTTCTTCTCTCCCATATGTGTAGTTCCATATGTCTTGTGTATAATAGGCATTCATTTAATACATTGTTCTCAGTGAGGATCATACCATTCTCATAGTGGCAGTTGAGACGTTTACAGGGATGTTTTGTTATTACAGTCACTTAGGGGAAGTGCTCTTGGCATTTAATGAGCAGGGATGCTGGGTGTTCTACAGAGGGTGGGACCGTTCTGAAGAGTGAGGACTTCTCCTGTCCCACATGGCTTTCAGCTGCCTCACCGACCATTGTGGAGGTGAAAAGCATGTTCATAATTATTAGAACCAGCCTAACTCTACATAAAACACAGCATTTTTTGGTGTTTTAAGATACCACGTATATTAAAGGAGTAGGGGTATAGTACAGAGATTATGCTTTGTTGTGTTAAAAATATACGGTGTGACATTACACCATGATGAAGCCTGTGACTGCTCTTTTATTGTCCTGATTTTGTTGTACGGAATGGTTATGATCTTCTTACATTTTTAAACTCCAAACTTATTTGTAGAAGTTTTATATAGGTGAGTGCAAGCTCACTTACTTGTAAGCTCACAGATACTTCGTGAGCTCACAAAGGCTTATTTGTGCAAGCGAGTACAAGCATCCATTATGTTTTCTAGAGTAGTTGTATTTGAGCATTTTCATATTGAAGTACATTTTATAAGTCATGTTCCTTTTATTTCTCTGTATACTACAGTTGGAATAATACATTGATTTTTGTTTCAAAAATATGTAAATATGTAGATTACATTTTCAATACATTTTATTTCATGATATAGAAGAGGACAATACAAAATACTTGTTTTTAAAATGAAGCCTGTCTTAATCAGCTTGGGCTACCGTAACAAATACGATAGGCTGCATGGTTTAAACCATGGGAATTTGTTTTCTCAGTTCTGGAGGCTGGGAAGTCCAAGATCAGGGTGACACCTTATCCGGTTCGGGTGAGAACTCTTTTCCTGGCTTACAGACAGCTGCCTTCTCACTCCATCCTCACGTGGCAGAGAGAGATTGAGTGAGCTCTGTGGCATCTTTTTGTATAAGAACACTAATCCCATCAGATTAGGGGCTCACCCATATAATCATTTAACCTTAATTCCTTACTCCGAATATTGTTAGGTTGGAGGTTAGGGGTTCAACATAGGAATTTTGAGGGTATCCAATTCAGTACATAGCAGAGGCTTGGGGACTAAGGGTTGAAAAATCCCTGATGCCGTGTGTAGTCAGGATGCGAGTTAGTGCACGGATACGTAGATACGATAGAGTGCTTCTGGAAAGGAGCATGGAGCCCATTTTACCTGGCCTGTACAAACGTGCCCTTTCTGGCTTTCATTTGACCTGCGATGCAGCTTCATCGTTTTGTTCTCTTGTTAATTCTCTTACACAGTCCAGTTTGGACTAAGAAGTATCTTCTTGTTTTCTCTATATGACTTCACATTTTACCTGTTGAGGAAAATGTGGGTCAACTGTTGGATGGAATTGTTCTGAGTTGTCTTCATTTCTACTTCAATCTTCCTGTTAATCTTCACTTTTTTTCCCTTCTATTTTGCCTTCTAAATAAGGTTAACACCTTCTCTGGCACTTCTGATTTCTTTATTGACTCTATCTCTTTTGGCCACAAACATAATAAAATCAACTTTTATTTGTATAATGGATTCCTATTTTAAAGCTTTTTTATATTGATTATATCACTGAATTATCTGCAGCCTTATAAACTGAACAGGAATTTTTATTCTCATCTAAATGACAGAAAACAGTTTCTGCAAAGCTCTCTGAAAAAGAACATACCGGGGCCGGCCTGGGGGCGCAGCAGTTAAGTTCGCATGTTTCACTTCTCAGAGGCCTGGGGTTCGCTGGTTTGGATCCCGGGTGTGGACATGGCACCGCTTGGCAAAAGCCATGCTGTGGTAGGCGTCCCACATATAAAGTAGAGGAAGATAGGCACAGATGTTAGCTCAGGGCCAGTCTTCCTCAGCAAAAAGAGGAGGATTGGCAGCAGATGTTAGCTCAGGGCTAATCTTCCTCAAAA